AAATTTTTTGGAGTGCTGGTTTGGTATTCATGAAGTTCCTAAGGTGCTCTTTGTCATGCAAGTATCTTATTTCTCCATCAATTTTGAAAGATAGTTTTGCAGGGTACATCAATCTGGGTTGGAGGCTATTTTCCTTTAGGGCTTCGAATACGTCTCTCAAAGGTCTTCTTGCCTTGAGGGTTTGCATTGAGAAGTCTGCTGTGATTCTGATGAGTTTTCCTTTGTATGTGAATTGTTTCTTTTCTCTAACTGCTTGTAAAATTTTGTTCTTCTGTTGTGTTTCTGGAATCTTTTAACTATTATTTGCCTATGTGTAGATTTTTTTGATCAAGTCTATTTGGAGTCCTATATGCCTCACTTATCTGTATGTCAAGTTCTTTTCCCCTTCTTGGGAAGTTTTCTATCACTTCAGTGAATTTTTTTTATATCATCTGCACTCTCTCCTGTTTCTTCATTGACTCTGATCAGTCTTATGTTATTCTTCTTTATGTCATCTAGCAGTTGCTGGATTGATTTTTCATGGTCCCTTACTATTTTAAAGAGATTTTTCTTTTCCTGGTCACTAACTGCAATTTTATCATCTATATATGAAATTCTGTCCTCACATTGACTCATTCTGCTGCATAAACTTTCAATGGAGTTTTTAATCTCCTGGAAATCTTTTTGCATCTGTTTTATGGATTCCATTTTTTTCCTATTTTGGGATTGGCTCATGTTCCTCAGCTCTTCTATTTTTTTTATCTGTGTCCTCTCTAAATTTATGAATCTTGTCTTGCACTATGGGCACCATCTTTGCTGTTATCTGAGAAATTATTTCTAATTTCATTTTTTCCAGATCCTCTTTTATTTCCAGTTCAGGGAGTCCAGGTGGTTGAGTATCAGATTGTTCCATCTCCTTTTCCTTTGGGTTTGCTGTAGGTGATCTGGAAGTCTTGTGTGTTTTTTTTTTTGGTACTGGGAATCGAACTCGGGACCTTGTGCTTGTGAGGCAGGCGCCAGAACCACTGAGCTAAATCCCGGGCTGGAAGTCTTGTTTTGAGACTTGTTTATGTGTCTTCTCATTTCAAGGGGCGGGATGGGGAACATGTTGTGTGCTGCTGGCACCCGTAAGGCTCACCTCCTTGGCCCTGGGGGTGGTGGTAGCATTTCCTGAAATGCTCCTCCTCAGCGCTGGGGGCAGCTCTACTCCTCGACACTTGGGGTCATGGTATGGTGGCCCAGAAGACTCCTGCTTGGCACTGTGGACAGCTCTGCTTCTGGGTGCTGGGGGTGGTCTCTCCTTCAAAAATTTGCAAAAGCTGTCTTTGCATTTTTCTTCAATTCTATTTTTTAAAATTCTTTTTCCCTGGGCTGGGGATTTAGCTCAGTGGTTCTGGCACCTGCCACACAAGCGTAAGGTCCCAAGTTCAATCCCTGGTACCAAAAAATAAATAAATAAAGATTTTATAAAATTCTTTTTCCTTCCTTTTCTTCCTCCTCCCTCCATATCTCATTCCTCTTCCAATTTGAAAAAGATTGCCCTACTTCCTATGATCTGTCTTGTATTTTGCTCTTTATATCTTGAGCTTCTCATATAAGAGAAATGATGTGATATTTAAATTTGTATGTCTCATTTATTTCACTTAACATTATGTTCTCGAGGTGCATCCATTTACCTACAAATAGTTTAAGTTTATCCTTCTTTATTGGAGAGTAGTATTCCATTGTATATAAATACCACACTTGGTTTATCCATTTGCCTGTTGATGGACATATAGGCCATTTTCAAGATTTAGCTATTGTGAATTATGCTATTATAAACATAATTATGCATGTATCACTGTAATATGATGACTTTAACTCTTTTGGGAAGATACCTAGAAGTGGAATAGGTGGGTAAAATGGAATTTCTATTTTTTAGTTTTTGAGAAATCTCTATACTAATCTCTGTAGTGGTTGTACTAGTTTACATTCCCACTAACAAGTAGAAGAATTTCTTTTTCCCTGCAGCCTGGCTGGCATTTTTTATTATTTGATTTCTTGATGAAGACCAGTCTTTCTAGAGTAATACGGACTCTCAGTGTTGTTTTAATTTGCATTTTAATGGCCAATGATGTTGAACACTTTTTCATGTACTTATTGGCCATTTGTACTTCTAAGAAGTGTCTGTTAATTTCATTTGCCCATTTTTGATTGAGTCTTTTATTTTGGTGAGTACAATTTTTATGAGTTCTTCATATATTGGAGATATTAGTCTTCCATCTGAGGAATAGCTGGCAAAAATCCTCTCCCATTCTGTAGGTTGTCTCTTTACCTTGGTGGTCGTTTCCTTTGATGTGCAGAAGTTAAAATTTCATATGTTCTCATTTATTGATTCTTAGTTTTATTTCCTGTGCCACTGGAGTTCTGTTCAGAAAGTCTTTGCCTAAGCCTGTGTCTTTAACAGTTTTACCTATTTTATCTTCCAGCAGATTAAGTGTTTCTTTTTAACATTTCAATCTTTGATTCATTTTGATTTTAGTTTAGAACATGGTAAGATATGTGGGTTTAGACTCAATCTTCTGCATGTGGTTAGTCAGTTTTTCCAACACCTCATTAAAGAGGCTGTCTTTCCTGGGAGAACTATTCTTGAGACACGAATATTTTATTTCTGACAGGGCTGATCCTGGACAGATCGCTTCATCTTGCTTAGTACTTCCAGTTCTGTTACTACTTCTGTTTAGACACCCAGCAAGATATTAAATTACACTGATTTCCATGATTGACCTGCGAGGTAATCAGGTTAAGTTATTACAGAGTTCACATTGTCACATAGTTATAAAACGTTGCTTTCTAACTTTATCTTGTAGGCTAAGGGAAAGATGTGTTTGATGATAGGTATTATGACTAGAGAAGTAATAGTAGTAATTTTATCTCTCATTTATTTTGTGCTTTTAACTTTTTTTTTTTACATATGATGCTTTCCCCTAACAATTCCCAAGTTCACCAAGGCAGATATTTGGTTTCCATTTAACAGAGCAGAAACTGACAGAGTCTTAGTAAGTGATATTACTGGAGGGTCTTAAAAGGCACCATACCTATTCAGTTGATAATCTATTTGGATGCATTATGTGAACCCAAATTCAAAATATTCATTTTGATACTGTCTTTGATGATTTCTAACTCTGTAGCAACCCTGACAATTTTCTTGACTTTTCTATCACTTGGATGACCCCCATTTTAAAAGTCATTTCTTTGTGAATTATAAAAAGCACACTTACGAGTCAACTTTTCCATTGCTGCCTCCTGAATTGCTGTTATTATTATTTAATGAAATGTTCTTGTCTCCACTTTGCTGAGAGTACTGTGCAGAGTGTGTAACTTTGCAGGACTGCTGTTTCTGTTATGACAGAGCTTCAGATTCTAATACTTCAAGCAACAAACACTCGTCAAAGATTGCTCTAATCAGAATTCCTAATGTTTAGAATTTTAAGCTCTCCGTTATCTTTGAGGGTTTGAAGGGAAACATATTTTCTCCCTCCAACGTCATCTTCCTATATCAATTACTTCCAGGGCACCCGTGAGATGCTTGTCTTAATTTTGAGTTGTTGGCATATTCTCTTCTGAAGCTAAAAGGGATAAAAATTGATGAGAATAAGTCTGGGGTATCTCTGATATAATGACTTTGATTTGGTTGAATTTAACATTTTTGAACACTGGGCTGGTTTTCAGCTAAGTATGAAGACAAGGAGAAACATGCTTTCTTGTATTTTCTTAAGTGGTATCTGTTTAATTTTGTGGACATAAATAGAAAGAACCTAGGGGAAACTGTATTTACATTTATAAATGTAATACATTTATAAATATAATAACCAGAGAAAGAGCTTTAAAAATGGATGGAAATAGTTTCATGTATGAGAGGTAAAGTATCAATTCTTACATTTAAGTTAAACAGTTTCTAAAAAGATAGATGGGCTCAGTCTCTCTCCTGTGTTCTATAAAGCAAAATAATACCAACTGCCACAGTCTTTATAATAGCTGATGTTCATTATGTGCTAACCAGATTCTAGGCAGTGTGCTGAGTTCTGTCCTCCTTCACCTTGTACAGTGACTGCCATTCCTTTCCTTACTGTATGGATATGGAAGCTGGTGGAGAGCATTTCAGAAATGTACTCAGGTTCACAGAGCTGAGAGATGGAGCAGGACTCTCATGCATCAGTATTGGCCACTTTTTTCACTGCATAGTGCTAGTTCTCTATTTCATCCCACCATTGCAATTCTTTTCATAAATACTGCAAGAAGTGAAAATGAATTACATCTACAGGTCAGGCAGACCATGCATTTATTTTCTCAGTTTATCAATTCAATAATTATATTTATCTCCTCCACTATACTGAAACATTTTCTTTGTATTTCCATGTTTTTTTGTCTTTACTTCATTTAGTCCCTCACCAGTCTTTTAGACAGTATGGTACTGATGAAAAATAGAAATATCAGTTAATCAAACAAAACAGAATTTGGAAATAGATCTGATGAACATAAATATTTGATATAAGATATAAAGCAAGATTTTCAAAGCAGTGAGGCAGGGAAAGAGAATTTCTGTCCATCTCTCCTTCCAGGTTATGTCACTAAATCTCATGGTCCCATGTTTTATAGAGTAGCTGACAGCATAGACACTGGAGCCAGAATGCCTGGGTCTAAGTACCAGCCCTACCATTATTAAATGGACAAGTTACTGAAACTGTCTTAGTTTACTCATCTTTAAATGAAAATTTTCTTAGGACCTACTTCACAGGGGTGCGTTCGGATTACATGAGCAAATATATCAAAGTACCTAGGCCTGGATCTAGTACATAATATATATTATATGTGTTTAGCTATTCTTATTTTATATATACAGTATTAGGTAATGTATGTGGATTATGTCATCCACACGGAAGAGCAATTAGGTTGTTGCATGATTAGAGGTTAGGATGAGATTTACCAAAAAACTATTTCCAGTAATTTTGTTTACTTCTTTCATGCTGTTTCATTTTTAGGGCATTGCTCCCAAGTTAGAGTTTTCTACAAGGACAGCCATCCGAGAATGTGTGTTTCTACATAGAAACAGATTTCTTGTAAGTATAAGAAAAAGCACAGTGATATAAATGACAGAATTTTCTCCACAAATTTCAAGATTTTTAGCCTGAACTCAGTTTACCAAGTTTAGATGCAAGTGAACAGATAGAAACCTGGAAAGTTTTTGCTCGGCTTGAATTTCTATATTCAAACCATTTGCTCAGCCTATCACATTCTGGTGAGTATGTGGGCATATAGTATTGGCTATGAGTGGTTGGTAAGGTAGATTAGGGTGATTCAGATGCTAAAATCCCAAGTTTTAGGCTAGTTTTTGTTGTTATTGTTCTGTTGCTTTTTTTTTGGTACCAGGGATCGAACTCAGGTCCTTGTGCAGCAGGCGGCGAAACCACTGAGCTAAATCCCCGGCCCTTTTGTTGCTTTTATTGATCTTATGAAACATAGTGTTTCCGACTCTCTTTTGTTGGAACTGACACTCGGTTGCATTTGTGGTCCATCTCTGTTAAGCTTGAAAGGTCTTAGGATATCCATGCACATTACCTTTGTTTTATTCTCTTCTTCAACTTTAATTTCCCTCCACCCTGATTTCTCTTTTCTTTTTCCTTAATATATATAATTTTATAGCTGTTTGAATTTCTTTGTAAAACAAGATGGAGGAGTGAAGATAAATTGTAAAGCTTCTTTAAATATTTTAGGATAAGATTGAATAAAATTAATAAGAAAAACAAAATGCTTATCCCAAATCTCACCTGTGGTCCTGGAAAATACCTTGAAAATATGGGCTGTGAGTTAAGGAATGCGTAATGAGAAGGACCACTAATCTGTGAAATATATCAATTTTTCTGGTGTATTAATTTTTCTGGTGTATTAATTCATAAGAGACTAGTAATTAATTTGTTTTTTTGGTACCGGGGATCGAATTCGGGTCCTTGTGCTTGCGCAGCAGGTGGCGAAACCACAGCTAAATCCCCGGCCCAAGCAAATTTAGATTTTTTTTTTCCTTTCGGTACCAGGGATTGAACTCGGGACCTTGCGCTTGCAAGGCAGGTGCTGGAACCACTGAGCTAAATCCCCGGCCCTAGTAATTAATTTTAAGGATGACAATAGCTGCTTTTTAACTTCTTATATAGTCTCTGTTCTCTTTGATTTATTTGTGTTTACAGTAATTTTTCAGTCTATTTTTCTCTTCCATTCTACCATTTTAATATTTTACATTTTCAAACTTTTAACCTCCCCTCCCCTGTACTGGGAATCAAACTCAGGACCTTGCGCTTGCCAGGCAGGTGTAGCACCACTAAAGTACATCCCTGGCTCGAACTTTTAACTTTTTAAATGAATAATTTTTATTTTTTTCTTATAAGAAAAGTACCATGTTATTTTAGAAAATACAGATAAGCAACAAAAGACAAGATAAAAAGGTCACTTGGCATTCTTACCACTTAGAGAAGAGCATGGCTAATTTTTTGTACACACTAATATTCTGTACACAAAACCACACTTTTTATATTAAAAGATTGAGGTCATATTACTACAAATCATTTTCTACCCTTACTATGTCGTGAACATTTCCTCATTCCCTTAAATATTTTTCAGCCAAGAGCTTTTTTCTTTTTGCTTTTTTTTCCAGTACTGCATATCGAACTCAGAACCTTGCACTTTCGAGGCAGGCACGGTCCCACTGAGCTAAATCTCCAGCCCCAGCCAGGAGCTTTTTTGTGGCTTTATAGTATTGCATTTTATGGAAGTGCCGTGATTTATTAGGCCAGTCAAAGAAAGAGAAACTTAGAAGAGCAGCTTCTCCCTCTATGGCTAGGGAAGCAAAAGGAAGAGCTTAGGTCACCAAGATTGTAGAGGTTTGAAGAGACCCCACAGAAATGGAACCCGGACCTCTGGGAAGGGGCTCTTTCCTGGGTGCTTCCTCAGGAATTCAGAGGAACTCGGATGAGCTGGAACTTGAACTCCAAGGAGAGCACTGCTCACTGCTGGTGCCGCAGGGGCTTAGAGGAAGGTTTTCCTGTGGGTTTGGACCCACATTTCTCATTAGGGGCCTTTGGGTAGCTGGAGCCAGTGTGTCTGAGAGGGTGCAGTGGCCGAGAGGGAGCAGTGAGGCTAGTTCTGGCATTATGGGGGCAAGCTTTCAACTGAAATCATCTACTCCTGTCCAGGTGAAGAGTGGTTGGTGGGGTGATGCCAGCAGGAATAGAATGCAGAACCGGAAGTAGCCAGTCCTATCCTCTCCAGCCTCACAATTTCCCTCTTAGTGCTCATAGCATGACTGGAAAAGTAAAAAGGGAGTTTGGAGAGTCCTTCCCTCAATATCATCATAGAGCTGAGGTGGGTTTGCGGCTGAGAGTCAACTGCTTACTCAATCCAACAGTTGGTTTCTAATTTTTAAACTACTTTAAGCATTTTTGTTGCTAGATGTGTACTCACAGTTATTTACTATGATAAATTCTTAGAAGTAAAATTGCTGGACCCAGGTGTACCTGTCATTTTCTCTGTCTTAGGATCTATCATCTCCCTACCTCTGCATGCATATGTTCGTGTGTGTGTGTCATACTTTCTAACTTTGTCCTAATGCAAATAAATCTCACTTTTATTATTATATTGGAATATATTATACTATTAAGTTATAAATACTGGTGGTTTTAAGTTGAACTGGAAAAAAGACTAAGTAGAGAAATGCCTTCCTTAAGTTCATATTTTGTAAACCTGATATGGTCGATCTTCTGCCTTAGCTTTTAGAAGTTCAATTAAATACAGCTATATTCCTGACTGATGTTTTTATTTAAAAATAATCTTTCTTTTTTGGTTTCAGGAAGAAAGATATAAGTCACGAAGGCCTTTTTCAGCCTCATATGGACCAATATTCCCCTTAAATAATACGAAGATGAAGCTGAAGGATAATAATCTTGACAGACTCCCCAAAGGCACGCAGTCCCAGGCACCCTCTCCATATTCCACCAGACATTCCTACCTGGACCAGCCAGCTGAATTGAACCTTGGAAATAACTTCAAATTCTCTGGAGAAAGGAGGCCTCCATTTGTAGTTAGACATGTGAGCCTAAAATTATTTTTCAGAGTACTTTGGAATGGTGACGATGTGGATGAGGGTGGAATAAAAGAATGTTGGGCCACAAAAACAAATGAGTATTATAGAGAATTCAAACTGAATAATAACTGTTGTTAAATTATGTTCACTTCTTAGAGAGTAAAACTCCTATAAAGGTATCTCATACAGAGAACTTGTCCAGTAAATGTCAACCATCCTCATTTTTTATTTTTGAAAATTGTTAATGGAATATGAAGACTACATACAATAACCCATCATTATTCAGAAGAGTTGGTGAACTGCCAGGAGTTAAAGATGTACAACAAAGGCTGAGACTTTACCAGTTGAAAGAAAATTGCTCCAATTTTCTTAAGGAGATTAGTGCTCAATGGCCATACTTAAAAACAGCCTCTATATTATTTTACATTCTTTATGAACACAGCTCCATGTTCTAGCTAGCAACTTACTCTCCAGAATATAAACTGTTGATAGCATGTTGACTTAGAGTCACACTAGTGGTGATGTTTATGTATTTAAACAGGCTAGGTGGTGTGGTAAGTCTCAAAGTCAAGGTGCTGTTGAGATAGATGACTGTATGTACAGAGTTGGCTAGATCTGGGCCTGGTGGCACATGTCTGTAATACCAGAACTTTGGGAGGCTGAAGCAAGAGGATCACAAATTTGAGCCCAGCCTGGGCATTGTAGGCTGGGATGTAGCTCAGTGTGATGGCTCTGGTTCAATCTCCAGTACCGAGAAAAATAAAAAAAGTTAATTTGTAGGTAGAACAGAGCTTTTTGGTTAGAAACTGTCAAATAACTATTTACAGATACTGTTGATTCATAGATACAGAAATATAGAACTTTGTGGCCTAAGTAAAGATATCTGGCAAAAATCTATCAACCAATCTTTAAACATGGTTCCATAAAAATATTGTTGACTTGAATTCACTGCACAGTCTGATTCATTCCATTCTGTGTATATTTTTGTAAAGTACTTTAGTCCATGCTATTATAGACTAAATAACCTTAAAATATGGTTAGATTTCTTAGAGATTGAAAACTTTCTTGATATTTCTTTTATTTAGCAAATTCAGTTTTTTCATGCCCCAAACTCTTTTATTAGTGATTTTACATATTAATTCTTTTACTTTACCAGATATCCTGATGATACATAACATTTCTTTAAGCAGAAGCATTAAAATTTAGAAGATCTGATGTTGTAAAGACTGTAAATTCAAATCAATATATTTCTTGAAGCCAGAATAGAGAGACAGTCTAAAAGGGGTTGTGAAAGTCCACAATGTCATTTGTGTCAATCACTTGCTGTCAGGGAAGACCTTGCTTAGGCCAGCACTGTTCATATTCTTTAGAAACATGACACTCTGTGCTGTTTTAAAAGATTGTGAAATAAAGCTTTGCTTGCTCTCTGTGCTTGATTCCTACCAGTTATTAGAATACAATGTGTATCCAGTGGTAGTTCTTTATGCTGATAGCCCATATCCTAATGTTCTAGCCTAATGAAGCCTCAGTGAAGAGCGGGATCAGTGGTTTCTCCATTGGGTATAACATGTAACATTCTTGGAGTCTATGATTTAAGTTATTTTTCAGCCTTCTCTTTTCCAACCTGAACAGTGATAGAGGAGGACAAAGCATGATGGGTGACGAGGAGAGGGTAATGCAAGCTACCATAGACTCAAGTCTTGTTTCTTTCTTTGACTTTCAGGTGGACAGTGCAAAGCCCTTTGGTGAGAATATATCAGAGCCTCATCCACAGAAGTCTAGAAGAAAATCTAAATTTTCAAACTTTCCATTTCCAATGAAAAGAGGTACTTTAGTTTCTTGCCATTTCTGTACATTTCTTCATGGGAACCAGTGTATCCTACTTACTATCTTTGATTCTGAGGAATCACAAGTTACACTGAAAACTGTGGGCCTAATTCCCAAGGACTCCCGTCTATGCTGCCCCCAAGAGTGTGCCGGGGGGCAGAGGCAGCTGAGAAGCCATGTATTTGGGAGTTCACCCAGCTCCAGAGGGGAGCTGTGTTGAGTAGTGAGAAACAGTGCTGTGGTTGCACTTGTTTCCTGGCTGGGCTGGAAAAGCCAAGAGCAGCTGTCCTGGTGAGAACTCCTTGCAAAAGCAGCATTGACAGCTAACAATTATTTTGTTTGCCATTTTTCTGAATGGGATAGGGCAGGAGATCGATGGCCATCAGGAGACATAATGTCTGCTGTACAGGATTCTGTGTCAGGGAAGAGGGAAGCCATTTCTACCTGAAGCAGTTATGTTAAGGGAGGGGGTCTCAAAATTTTAGATTTTAGGACCCTTTTAAATATTATTGAAGACCTCAAAGAGTTTTTTTATTGTTGATGTGAATAATGTGTATCAGTGTTCAGCATATCAGAAATTAAAGCTGAGAAATTTTAAAAAATATAATATATTAGCACAAATACACTTTTAGCCACCAGAATGGTGATGTTATGACTTATTGTAGCTTTTGTTAGAATTGTGAGAGAATGAGAATGAAAGGCCAAATAATGTCTTAGTATAATTATGAAAACAGTTTTGACTTTGCACATTCTTGAAAGGTTTTGGGGACCCTGGGGAAGTTTCTGAACATTGAGTCATTGGGTTATGACATCTCCCAGAGGTCTTTAGTTTATGATTGAAATATGCAAATTGAGTTAATAGCGAAGGTTATGGGAACAAAGTTCATTCATTTCTGAACTTAACTAGAATTCTTAGGCTAGAAATAGATAGTGGTGGCCTCTTTTTCTTTGTCTCCTGGTAGTACTAGACTTGTGCCATTCTTTACAACAGAGTTCCCTAACTTAGGCTTACAGGTTTTCACTTGTAAGGGCTACAGAGTCTTTGAAGTAACTCAGGCTAGGGTTCTTAGGTCTTAGTGACTGTTTGAAAGCAGCTGACCAAGGACAGAGTATAGGATTGGAAGCAGAAAGTGCTTCATCACCTCTGACATTTAATTTAAATTCTGTGAATTAAAAATTACCCATATAACCTATAAAAGTATTGTCCTCCCTATTACAGTGAAATCAAGCAACAGCAAAGGACCTTTCTGGTAGGGGGACAAGTTGGGCTTAATGCTGACTTCAATATGGTGAGACTCATACATCACACTGGGCTTGGCCTTTGTCTTTTCTTAATCCTGGCAGGTAGAAAACTAAGGTTCCAGAGAGGTTACAATGTGTGTACAGGTCACACACCAAAGTTTTGGAGTACCTACGTTTAGTAGATGTTCAGACCTGGGCTTAGATCCTTGGAATACCTATAGCTTTCAAGCCAGACTTGCTTAGGTCACCTGTCGGCTCATTCATCCAGGCCTACGAGAGAATAAAGCAGTGCTTTTCAAGGTTGAATCACCCAGGGACCTTGTTAAACTACAGATTCTGATCAGCAGGGCTGGGTAGGGCCTGGGATCCTTTTCTAACAAGCTTCTGGGTGACACTGAATCTACAGTCCCATGGACTGCAGTTTGAGAAGCAAGGGAGCAAATGCCACCCCTTATGAGGGGGTGCTCAAAACCAGTAGCAAGGTGTAGAGGGCAGAGGGTAGGTTTTTGGCAATAGCTGTAAAGAGCCTTAGCACTGCCAATTTCCTGCCCAGCTTCGGGTAGGAGGGAGCTCCTGGGACAAAATGGATACTCACATTTTTGTATAGCCAGAGGATATGAAATTTTCCAGGGTTTAAAAACCCCATTTTATGTCTGTCTTCTTACTACCAGTGGTATGGAGGAATGAGCAGTTGAGGAAAAGTCCTTTGTGATTGCCTAAGCCCCAGTCACACTGAGGGAAACCATGATGGTCTTATCATTGTCTTACAAATACTTATTTCAAAGGCGTTTTTTCCCCAATTTTGTCTCTTTTCTCTTACATGTTTTATTATTTCACTTTCTAGGAATCCATACCATTCTCTGGTAGTAGGTCTTCATGCTTCTCATAATTATTTATGGTAATCATAGTGATTTCCATTTTTGCTGTGTTATGTTTCCCTAAGCTCTTGTTTTTGTCTCAATATAACATCTGTGTCTACCTTGGAAAAATACACTCAGGAGCTGCTGCATAAATAGGATTCCACAAAAACCAAAAGAATGGCAGAAGAGGCAGAATATATGAATTTTGTGTTAAACCCACATTGCTTTCTTTTAGGCCCTGGGCACATTGTACAAATTTAGTTTATTGCTGCTTTAAGTCTGCTTAAGGATACTGAACTTATTGCTTCATTTTAGGTTTGCTTTTACCCTTCCTCCTTTCATCTGTGGCATAATTAAAAATAAAACCTCATTGTTGATCTCAAGAGGACAGAAAAACTCAGAGATAGAATGGAGTGACTCAAGGGAGATTTAATAGTGATAGTGTACCTTCCAAGGGAGCATTGAAGTTCTCTAAAAATTCATTCATTGTCTAAAATTTTTGTGCTGCTGTAGAATAAATGTAACAGCAGTTTTAGAGTTAACTGGTAATAATGAGCCATTCAAACACCTGTTCCTCTTTCTTCTAGCTTCTTCTCTTGACAGTCCTGCAGCAAACGTAAAGGTAATTTTAGAAGTAGCATTTGTAGAATGATTTATTTCTAGTTATATGTCAATTATTGTGCATTCTGCAGTTAACAGTGGAAAATTTATTTCTAGCTAGTGCTGTTTACATGATATTGCTTTAGTTTAACTAGGGTTTATGTAAAGAAGGTGCACACGTTCCACTGTATACTTTGCTTTGGGGCTTATTGGTTTGCTCCCCTTTTATCACTTGTAGGATGAATTACCAAGGAGTATGTATGTAGGCCCAATAACTACTTTATCAGTAGTGACTTTCATTGTTTTTTCTCTAATGGAAAACCTTGTATACGTAGAGGTGGTAAATGACTTATTCTTGAAGTTTGATCAGTTGTTTGTCAATGTTACAATGTGAAAATAGATATATACCAAGAAAATTGAGTATACTATGTTTCTTATGTCATAGTACTGAAATATTTTGTTTAAAATTATCTTTTCCCCGGGCCAAGGATTTAGCTCAGTGGTTTCACCGCTTGCTGCGCAAGCGCAAGGACCTGAGTTTGATCCCCAGTACCAAAAAAAAAAAAGTCTTTTCCCAGACCCGATAATCCCTTGACCTCAGAAATCAAAGCTCAGAGTATGAGTTAACTTGGCTCATTAATATATGGCAAATGTACAGACTTTTTTTTTGGTACCGGGGATCAAACTCAGGTCCTTGCGCTTGCAGAGCAGGCGGCAAAACCACTGAGCTAAATCCCCGGCCCCTAGACTTTTGATTATTTTTCCTTGATCTCAACTCCTGAGCGTTTTGTTTCTAGTCCTCTGTACTGTAGCCCTATATCTCTGTGGCATATATTCTATCATCTTACCTCCATTTCTCTTCCTTCTCCTACCCCTACTCTAACTCTAAATTAAGCAAAGCAAAAACAAACAACCCCCCAAACCCCAAACAAACAAGTAAACAAACAACGACAACAAAACAAAACAGAAAACTACAATTAAAGACTACTACACATTGTCATTCAGGTTATCAGAGAACCAGATGAACGGATTATTTTAAGGAACGAGTCACCATCACCTTTAGATTCGAGTAATTTTGGAAAGTCCTCATCCTATAACCAAGGGGATGCTGATTTCCACTGGGAAACTTCATTTGCCAGCTGCCAACATTCCAGATCTCCCAGCTCTCTGGATCAGCTTCCACTTGGAGAAAGGTCAGCAGCAAGCACTTGTCTCTGCTTGAAGAGAGCACTGTGGCCTGGCAGGAGCAGAGCCTCATCACTTTAGTGTGTTTTCTTAGCAATATTTAGATGGTGATACCTTCATGGAAAAAATGACTTCTTTGTGAAAAGCACCCAAAAGTCAGAGTTGAGTCTCTTCTCTGGAAAGCATGTTTCAGGATGTTTGTTGTAAATATGATAGATACCTAACTGATATATAATCTATCTATCTACTATTTACACATTTTTATCTGTCCTAAAATTTTTAACTGAATTTTTTGGTTTTACTGGTATGAAAATGTTCCTTGTAGAAAATTTACAGACCAACAAAAAGGAGTAGGAAAA